TAGACCTGTTATTATTATACAGATTATTACTCAGCTTATACCAATTAGATATATTTAAAAACACTTTTATAAAGTGCTTGCAACACGTTCGCTTAACAGTATCTGTATGTACCTTTTAAGAAAAAGGACAAAGTTGATTATTTATAAAAGGAACAAAGGTCAAAGGTGGAATATTGTATTATCCGATTAAAACTTTTAAACATTTTCATTGAAGTTTTATTTTTGAATTGTTTTCGTAGGGTTTAGACAGAGCAGGGTTCAAAGTCTATTTGACGTTAGTTGAAGCTAGAGTTAGACCTTGCTCCGGTCCCATAGTTTACTCTTCTTCTTATCTTCATTTGGACTTAGGTCCTCCACCTTTATATTTAGTATAATTATCCATCGATATTTTAGTATGCTAGATCTAGCTATTTACCTAAACATCGATATTATAGCATGCTAGATCAAGCTGATGAACTAAACATCGATATTTTAGATCTAGTTCATGAACTAAACATCGATATTATAGCATGCTAGATCTAGTTCATGAACTAAACATCGATATTATAATCTTACATCTTAATAATTATGCAATGTGACTGAGATAAAATTAATTTTTTGGAATAAGTATTAAGTAAAAAATATATCAAAGCCGATCAAGTCAAAAGAAAGTAAATAGACCTAACCGGACATATATTTTATATATGTTAAAAAATCTGGAGAATTCGGTCCAAAAAGTGGAATCTATTCACAAATATTCACAACTTTTGATTTTTATTTATATACACCTAGCTGGTGTTTTTATAAGCAAAAATTTATTATTCTTTGACTAAAATTTAACATTTTTTAAATTTTGAAGTTGTAAATCTTGATTTGTATGTTTTTTGTGAACCCTGAATATTATGTTTGTCTATGATTAAAACAACGATGAGTTAGTGCGCACGTACTGAGGCCTGATAATGAACATCAATCCGACGAGATTAGAACATCAGAAATATAAATTTAAAATAGAATAAAAGTGTAAAATATTCATTTTTTTTAACAAAGCTATCATCTATATCAAATATGAATAATTCAAGCAACCCTCCCTTTGGAGAGCTTAATGCACGATTCACACCGGTATTCTTTTTACTAAAACCCATAGATAAAGATAGATTGCGAATAAGACGACATTTTTCATCTTGAAAGATATGAATGAACAGAGATGTTTTAAAGATATTCCTATTATATAGATTAGCTAGGTCGGTTGTGAACATTTGCTGTTCTTATGTCATTGAGTACTTGTGGTGTACATGAGTTCTGTAGAGAGAAATTTAAGTTAGTTTTGTCCTTTTCATGTCCTTCGTCAGTTCTTGTCAATATGATGTATTGCTCAGTGAAATATTGTTGTTCAAATAGTTCAATTAAAACGCCAAACCACCCCGCTTATCATCTAAGTACACTTTGACCCCTAGAAGTATGAGTTCGCGGACTGTACAATTCTTGGTGATTCTGCGTACATAAGCTATCTACAGAGTGTCCCAGAAAACATGGGAATTCAGTGACGAATTCGATATCGTCTTAGTTGTGAATTAGCATTGTGTTACCTAACTTTAAAAGCCATAATATTATTATGTCTGCTAGAGTTTATTTTATGAAAAGGGTAAAAGACTGTAAATATGTGTCTATAATGTCTCCGCAAGATGATCAGTGAAGACGGACAAGTTTACTCTGTTTGTATACTGCAATTTTCTTGTTTTATTAAGTACTACCTGTTGCAGTCAAAACATAAACAAACAAAATGTGAACATAGCAGACGAAACTCTTACAGATTACAGCTTTCTCAGTAGGTATCACTATACTAAATCAAAGAATTAGTTAAAAAGACGATATCGAATTCGTCACTGAATTCCCATGTTTTTTGGGACACCCTGTATGTTTATTTATTTATCTGTGAGTTTACCGCGATATTTTAAAGACGATCGGCTCATGATTATTCATGTTAGGTTAGGACTCACACATTGTCCCTTCGTAAAGTTTAAAATGATAATTCTCGTGAAATATTTTATTGATATTCAGATCTCAACGCTGATCTAGATTTAAAGGTTTTTGCACCAGTTATTCATGAGTTTTTTATATCAAGTCATTCTCTAGTAATTCAGGGGCATATTCACATCAAAATATCCCCCCCTCTCTTCATGTAATCAATTATATTTACCAACATGTATATAAAATATCCCCACCTCTCTTCATGTAATCAATTATATTTACCAACATGTATACAAAATATCCCCCCCCTCTCTTCATGTAATCAATTATATTTACCAACATGAATACAAAATATTCCTCAATGAGTCAACATGTATACAAAAAAAGTTAATTTTTCAATGCTTAAAGTGAAACGGAATCATTGAGATATCCATCATCTTTTTTTGAAATTTGATTTCAATCAATTTCTGCATCAGAAACAATGGCTGAAATTGTTAGTATTTTACACTTTTCATGATAGAAAACAATGATAACCTCCACATTATTAATTATAAAAAGGGGTTATAAGGTACCTTTGTGAATTCGGCATTTTCAGTTTTTAGTAATAAGTCACTTGAAATTACAACGACTTAAGTAAATAAATTTGTTTTTTTTGGTCAAAAATTATCAACTTTTCATCTGGTACCCGTGCAGTGTCCCAATTTTTAATCTGGTACCCGTGCAGTGTCCCAATTTTTAATCTGGTAACCGTGCAGTGTACCAATTTTTAATCTGGTAACCGTGTAGTGTCCCAATTTTTAATCTGGTACCCGTGCAGTGTCCCAATTTTTAATCTGGTACCCAAGCAGTGACCCAATTTTTAATCTGGTACCCGTGCAGTGTCCCAACTTTTCATCTGGTACCCGTGCAGTGTCCCAACTTTTTATCTGGTACCCGTGCAGTGTCCCAATTTTTAATCTGGTAACCGTGCAGTGTCCCAATTTTAATCTGGTAACCGTGCAGTGTCCCAATTTTTAATCTGGTACCCGTGCAGTGTCCCAACTTTTCATCTGGCACCCGTGCAGTGTCCAAACTTTTTATCTGGTACCCGTGCAGTGTCCCAATTTTTAATCTGGTACCCGTGCAGTGTCCCAATTTTAATCTGGTACCCGTGCAGTGTTCCAATTTTTAATCTGGTACCCGTGCAGTGTTCCAATTTTTAATCTGGTACCCGTGCAGTGTCCCAATTTTTAATCTGGTAACCGTGCAGTGTCCCAATTTTTAATCTGGTAACCGTGTAGTGTCCCAATTTTTAATCTGGTACCCGTGCAGTGTCCCAATTTTTAATCTGGTACCCAAGCAGTGACCCAATTTTTAATCTGGTAACCGTGCAGTGTCCCAACTTTTGATAATTTTGCTAATTTAATCGACAATGATTAATTTGTATACCTTTGTGTTTAAAACTTTGCATCCTAAAACAAATTTATTTTAACAAATCCTTTTCCAATATTTGCATTTTGAATTACACACCCCCGCACATTTTCTATGCAATACAAAAAGTAAATAAAAAAGTATTTTTGGCTTCCTTAAAAAATGTAATTTTACATGATTTCTAAGCATTCATTGCATCAATTCTATATTTACATAGCATTTATAAACTTTATAAATAGATATACAGAGTTGAAAACTTTAGCACTAGCTGTGGATATCGAGATAAAAAATTGATCTTCTCTTTTTGTTGATCTGCAGAATGATTTAATCTTTATTTTGAAATTCGGGAAAGTGTAAAATTCCACCAATCAGAGTGTCGTTTGCAGAAACTGAATAGCCGATCAGAAGCGGGAAAATTTGCGCACAATCAGTGCGAGAACTCTCAGCAGCATATTAACAAGAAAGTTTTCACCGTGGATAATCAATTAAGCGATCGGGATTAAGGGTATATCTGGAAACTCCTGCGAGATCATTGCTTGACCTAAATCTTTTGTTAATCTGCAGATTACTTAAATCTTTATTCGATATTCCGCAGGGAGTTTTCATCAGAGGATAAGTAATTGAAATAAAGGGATTAAGCATTGATCCTCAAATTAAAAGTGCCCACCACAGTAGATATCGAGATCAAACGAGCGAGATTATTTTTATCCAACACAACAGTTGCCAGCTCAGGATAAACTAGTANGGGGTTAACTTGTTAAATAAAACATGTAAGGAGAATACAACAAATATTTAAATAGGGAAACAACGGATAATTTATCATAATTATTTTGTAGATATCACAATGCATTGAAAATAAACCCAAATGACATTTTATACAAGATATTTATGATATTAGAGCAAAAATAGACACAATTTTCTACCTTCGTTCAAATTTATTATTTTCTTCTTTATGACATCATCTATAAAACGAAGGCCAACTGAGATTTTTAGGATTGGAAACGTGGATCTATTCCAAAGGACTAAATATTTAATAAATGATTGTGCACGTTATTGGATATTCTACAGATTATTGTGCACGTTATTGGATATTCTACAGATTATTGTGCACGTTATTGGATATTCTACAGATTATTGTGCACGTTATTGAACATATTTCTTTGGGACTTGTCACGATAATGCGTATTTGGTGTAGAAATGACTTATATTTCAGAAGTGACTGGGCACGTTATCAGATGTTTAAGAAATGACAGGGCACGTTATGAGATATTTACAGGAACTAGTCACCTTATTAAATAGTTTATAAATACGTTACTAAATCTTTTCATTAAGATTGGGAATGATATTGCGTCTTTTCTTTAGGATGGGGCACGTTACTAAATTTTTTCTTTAGGATAAAGCACGTTACTGAATCTTTTCTTTAAGATAGGGCACGTTACTGAATATTTTCTTCCGCAAATTTTGATTGGGAATCTCGGTCAACATCAGGAATATTAAAGCCTGTCCAATTTTAAAGGTCGTATTCCGTCTTGTCTTTAACAAGATTTAAGATTTCCGGGCAAAGCTGGGTTTCTAAGATAGTATTTAGTTAAAGAGAAGAATAGACTCATCTTTTTCTTTAGTAAATCTTTACTATGTTTCAGGTGTGTTCAGCAAGCATTAACAGCTCCTTGAAAAGAATAATTTTTGAATTCCGCTAGAAACTGGATTGCAGGTGTCCACAATGATAGACACAAATGAAGAAGAAAAAAACTGACTAGATGTGGATGATTTATTTGGTGCACTGTCCCGTTTCCATTGCAGTACATCTTGCTCTAGTAAAAGTTGGCCCAGTGCTTCAAATCAAACAAAGAGAAAAAACAAAGGAGCGGCTGTAATCAACTTTTGCAGCAAAAGAAGCTTCGAATGGCTGAATCCAAGCTTAAGCATGGAAGAGCTGAAAATCAGCTTGAGTCATATGGCTGCTAGCCATCTGTACCTTAGTATATTCACATCAATGTTTTTAGTAATTATTTACTAACTGTTAAAACCAGAGTGAATTCGACCTCTTACTCTTTTGTAGCCTTGGCTGTAAGCTACTTTGAACAATTGGCTACAAGCCTGCAACCCTGATTAATTATGTCAGTATTAAATTGTTAATATTTTCGTTCTAAGTAGCATCGTTTAAGTAGCATCGTTCAAGTAGCATCGTTCAAGTAGCATCGTTAAATTAGCATCGCTCAACTCATGTTTTAAGTAGCATCGTTCAAGTCATGTTTTAAGAACAGCTCAAGCTCAACAAAATTTTAGTGAAAACAAAGAAAAAATTCTCTAATTCTAAGTGATTCTATGTAAAACGAGTGAAAAAAAAATCAAGCTTATAAAGTTTGTCTCAAAAGTTTTAATGTTCCAGTCTCTCAAATTGAATTATTGCGCTACATTGGTGCGCTGGAAAGAATCAAGTTAAACGTCCAAAGGGCACGAGACTGACCCAATTCACTAAATAAGTAATAACATAAGTGTATTTATATTTTGTTATATGTCGTCTTCCTATTCCATTGTTTTCTGGTTATCATTGCATATTTTTAAAATTTATCTACTGCCTAATTTACAATAAAATTTAACGTAATTACTGCTCCATTATGTATTAAGAATTTGCTTTATATTTATTGATTGCTTATTTGTAAATACATGTTTAGTTTATGATTTTGTTAAACATGGATTATGGGCACTAACAAGTTGTATGCCACGATTTTATTTACACTGCGACCCCTTTTTTGACCTAAATTCGAATTTCAACTGTTGGTCTGTTTGTGTCCAATATAAGCCGAAACAACAGAACCTTTGGGTCCAAAGAAGATAGATTTCTGAAGATAAGATGTTTATTTTTACTAAAAATATGTATCGATTATTTCATTGAAAAATAGCTTGAAAAGTCTAAAGACACATTCAAAAACTTCAAAACACGTAGAAAAACATCAAAATACGTAAAATTCTAAAAACTCGGGGATAAATTTAAAAACGTTGCTCAGCTCTAGGTATATCTGCTTGATCCAAGGAATCATAACACACACGTTTTTACCTGTGCTTTTATATGTTTTTGTACACTCAACCACCTTTTATTATTGGTTATGTAGGTATAAATTGCAACCACCTTGTATTATTGGTTATGTAGGTAGAGATAGCAACCACCTTGTATGATTGGTTATGTAGGTAGAGATTGCAACCACCTTGTATTATTGGTTATGTAGGTAGAGATTGCAGCCACCTTGTATTATTAGTTATGTAGGTAGAGATTGAAACCACCTTGTATTATTGTGTAAGTAGGTAGAGATTGCAACCAGTATTATTGGTTATGTAGGTAGAGATTGCAACCACCTTGTATTATTGGTTATGTAGGTAGAGAGTGCAAACACCTTGTATTATTGGTTATGTAGGTAGAGATTGAAACCACCTTGTATTATTGTGTAAGTAGGTAGAGATTGCAACCAGTATTATTGGTTATGAAGGTAGAGATTGCAACCACCTTGTATTATTGGATATGTTTGTAGAGAGTGCAACCACCTTGTATTATTGGTTATGTAGGTAGAGATAGCAACCACCTTGTATGATTGGTTATGTAGGTAGAGATTGCAACCACCTTGTATGATTGGTTATGTAGGTAGAGATTGCAACCACCTTGTATTATTGGTTATGTAGGTAGAGATTGCAGCCACCTTGTATCATTAGTTATGTAGGTAGAGATTGAAACCACCTTGTATTATTGTGTAAGTAGGTAGAGATTGCAACCAGTATTATTGGTTATGTAGGTTGAGATTGCAACCACCTTGTATTATTGGTTATGTAGGTAGAGAGTGCAACCACCTTGTATTATTACGGTATGTAGGTAGAGAGTGCAACCACCTTGTATTATTGGTTATGTAGGTAGAGATAGCAACCACCTTGTATGATTGGTTATGTAGGTAGAGATTGCAACCACCTTGTATTATTGGTTATGTAGGTAGAGATTGCAGCCACCTTGTATTATTAGTTATGTAGGTAGAGATTGAAACCACCTTGTATTATTGTGTAAGTAGGTAGAGATTGCAACCAGTATTATTGGTTATGTAGGTAGAGATTGCAACCACCTTGTATTATTGGTTATGTAGGTAGAGATTTCCCCCTCCCTTCACCATCCCTTTCTTCGTTTATTTCCCCCCCTCCCCTCCACCATTCCTTTTTCCTCCCTAATTTTTGCACTTTGCACACCTGTCTTTGCACGTATATATTTGCATGCATGTGTGGTATGTTTAAAACCGGTTTTCTTTTATAAAACACGATTTTCTTTGTGGCTTGTTTTCTTGTTTTCAATACTAGTGCACTTCATCGATCAGACACAAATTGAAACGTGTCTTTTTCAAATGTTGTCTTATATTGTAGTGATATGTGATAATATATTAATCTCAAAGCGATATATTAATTATCTGAATATCTTGTTTTTATCTTGTAAAGATGATATTTTAATTTCTGAAAAATATATATGTGTTTATTATTTTGAAAAAATATTCTTGTTACATAAAAATAATGTATTTACTTTTTAAAAATTGATATTTTTATTAAATGATCTATTAATACCCTATCTATGACCGAATGTCTTTTCTATCAAATATCCTATTTATGAAATATCCTATCTATGAAATATCCAATCATTGAAATATCCTATTTATGAAATATCCCAAAATGAAATATCCTATCGCAGAAATATCCAATCAATGAAATATCCAATCAACGTAATATCCTATCTCTGAAATATGCTATCTATAAATTATCCTATCTATGAAATATCCTATCTATGAAATATCCCATCTATGAAATATCCTATCTATGAAATATCCTATCTTTGAAATATCCTATTTATGAAATATCCTATCGCTGAAATATCCAATCAATGAAATATCCCAACTATGAAATATCCTATCTATGAAATATCCTATCTCTGAAATATCCAATCAATGAAATATCCTATCTCTGAAATATGCTATCTATGAAATATCCTTTCTATGAAATATCCTATCTATGAAATATTCTATCTATGAAATATCCTATCTTTGAAATATCCTATCTTTGAAATATCCTATCTATGAAATATCCTATCTCTGAAATATCCAATCAATGAAATATCCCAACTCTGAAATATGCTATCTATGAAATATCCTATCTATGAAATATCCAATCAATGAAATATCCTATCTCTGAAATATACTATCTGTGAAATATCCTATCTATGAAATTTGCTATCTATGATATATCATATCTTTGAAATATCCTCTATATGAAATTTCCATCAATATATTTGTCTTTTTATGCCGGGTCGAAACACCAAACGATATTATAGATAAAAGTAGGTGTTAAGTTTAAGCGTATCACCAAAAATAAAATTTGAAAATTAATGTTTTGTGTACCTTGCTGTAAAGGGTTTAGAGTATATATGTAGGTATTAGTGAACATGTGTTTTAATTATCTATATATCCACATGCAATACAGTTCAGCACCCTTAATACGTTAAAACTACAGTTCAGCACCCTTCATACGCTTAAACTCTAGTTCAGCCCCCTTTATAAATTTAAACTACAATTCATCGCCCTTTATACATTTAGACTACAGTTCAGCACACTTTATACATTTAATCTACAGTTCACCACCCTATATACGTTTAATCTACAGTTCAGCACCCTTTATACATTTAAACTACTGTTCAGCACCCTTTATACGTTAAACCTACAGTTCAGCACCCTTTATACATTTAGACTACAGTTCAGCACCCTTCATACATTTAAACTACAGTTAAGTACCCTATATACATTTAAACTACAGTTCAGCACCCTTTATACATTTAAACTACAGTTCAGCACCCTTTATACATTTAAACTACAGTTCAGCACCCTTGATACAACTTAACTACTGTTTAGCACCCTAGTCGATAACATTTAAACTACTGTTCAGAACCCTTTAAACATTTAATCTACAATTCAGCATTTTCTATACATTTAAACTACAGTTCAGCACCCTTTATACAACTTAACAACTGTTAAGCACCCTTGTCGTTAACATTTAGACTACTGTTCAGCACCCTTTATACATTAAAAGAACAATTCAGCATTTTCTATACATTTAAACTTCATTTTAATGCACTTCTGATTTTTATACTGTAGAAAACTAATCTAAACTTATCAAGGTTCTGAACTGTGAGAGAACGCCCACTGGTGGGTGGAGACATGCTAACTACAATCAACAGAGTTAAAATAAGTTTATGTCAGCCTAAAAATTTATTAAGGTTTTACATTTGTACAGTACACTACACTACAGTACACTACAGTACACTACACTGCAATACAGTACACTACAGTACAGTACAGTACACTACACTACACTACACTACACTACACTACACTACACTACACTACACTACACTGCACTACACTACACTACATTACATTTCACTACACTACACTACACTNTACACTACACTACACTACACTACACTACACTACACTACACTACACTACACTACACTACACTACACTACACTACACTACACTACACTACACTACACTACACTACACTACACTACACTACACTACACTACACTACACTACACTACACTACACTACACTACACTACACTACACTACACTACACTACACTACACTACACTACACTACACTACACTACACTACACTACACTACACTACACTACACTACACTACACTACACTACACTACACTACACTACACTACACTACACTACACTACACTACACTACACTACACTACACTACACTACACTACACTACACTACACTACACTACACTACACTACACTACACTACACTACACTACACTACACTACACTACACTACACTACACTACACTACACTACACTACACTACACTACACTACACTACACTACACTACACTACACTACACTACACTACACTACACTACACTACACTACACTACACTACACTACACTACACTACACTACACTACACTACACTACACTACACTACACTACACTACACTACACTACACTACACTACACTACACTACACTACACTACACTACACTACACTACACTACACTACACTACACTACACTACACTACACTACACTACACTACACTACACTACACTACACTACACTACACTACACTACACTACACTACACTACACTACACTACACTACACTACACTACACTACACTACACTACACTACACTACACTACACTACACTACACTACACTACACTACACTACACTACACTACACTACACTACACTACACTACACTACACTACACTACACTACACTACACTACACTACACTACACTACACTACACTACACTACACTACACTACACTACACTACACTACACTACACTACACTACACTACACTACACTACACTACACTACACTACACTACACTACACTACACTACACTACACTACACTACACTACACTACACTACACTACACTACACTACACTACACTACACTACACTACACTACACTACACTACACTACACTACACTACACTACACTACACTACACTACACTACACTACACTAAATTGCATAAAGTGAGTTCTATCTCAGTAATGTGCTGGCTATGGTGCTAAAAACTGATAAAACTAATTGCGTGAATTAAAACACTATAAAGCTAAAAAATGAGCTGTAATAAATTAAACCCGGCGACAAAAGAAAATAAGGTGAAATAAACTTGAGCGCTGTTATAGACCCGATTTTAAAACTTTCCGAAAGGCTCCGAATTTAATCCCATCTCATCTTTAAGAGACAATTTTAAAACAAAAGTGTTAAAGTACATTTAGTGATTTTACTTGTTAAGATTTTTCTAAAATAAACAAAAATTGTTTTTCGTACATTTAATTTATTAATTTCAATCACTGTACAGTTTATTTTCTTTTCTTTTTCAAATCAGAATTTCTTTATTTCTTCGAAAAATTTACTTTTTTAGTGTACATAAACACGCACCTCTGCCCTTTAAGTAAAAGTAAATTCAACATATATGAAGCATAAAGTCTGACCGCGTCCACCTTGTTGCACCGGCTAGTCCTTTTTTTTCAAGTGTCTGCTTTATTTACCCAATGTCCGTGCAGTACAAACTGGGACCGGAAAGGTTGACCCAGACCGGAAATTCAAATGTACCACGGCCGCCCGTGTAAGGTTCTCCTTAGAAAAAGATTTGTACAGTAAGAGTTGAGACCCACACAACTGAGGATTCAGAAGACAACTGTCCGACTCAAGTTAGGATTTAGTTAAGATTGCTTGAATGTCGTCTTCATTTTCTACAGTTTTATGAGTCCTTCTGTAATTTGATACAAAGAAGACATTTTTAAAAGTTTGATCTCTTCGTAAATTTTGAAGAAACAAAAGAGGCAGACCACATTTTGAAATTGGTTTGGTATAAATTTCCTTTAATAGTTGAACAATTCTTATTTGATTTAATACCAAAGAAAATAGAATATATATATATAACCTTT